TATTAGCTGCCCAACTTTATTTACAGGTTAATTTCTTCATCATCAAATTTATTTATTTATTTATTTCCATTCAAGTACAATTTGCAAGCTGGAAATAATAACCAAAACTCTGTCCATGCAGTATGTAACAGCTCACTTTCCAAACACAAACACTAGAAAACTCATTACGACGTACTTCATAAACTTCTGTCACTGCAGTAGGAAGTAACTGTAAATTATTACAGCTTTTCCAATTTAATGAGTACGTTTAAATCTTGGAGTGATGGTGTTACTGCCTGCACTCAGCACAGAGATTAAAAAAAAAAAAAAAAAAAAAAAAAAGAAAAAGAAAGAGTATTTCACATTTACATTCACACCATGCAGAGTAACTGGTAAGCACTGATGTTTTTCAGATGAGCATACATTACTTAGCCTGCCACATGAAGACATTCTGTAATTTGTAAACTATTTTAAACTCTATTGGAATTCAAGTTTTCTGTTTTATTTAAACATCTTGAAAGAACTAATATACAATGCTAAAATTTTTGTTCTTGGTCTCCGGTGCATCATACTGAACAATTTTTAATTCTCCCTACCCCCTGCATAATTTGAAATTCTAGCATTTTCCACAACCACTCACTAGTTATCTGTCACACAGCATGCTCAAAGCAGCACTCAGTAAGTATTAACTATTTTATGACTATTTTTGCTGAAGAGTTTTAACAAAATCTGTGTGAGAATGTATTTCCACAGCCTTCTCCAACTACGAGTGACAAAAACGTAACAATTAACACTGCCCAAAATCACAGGAAAAGAACATGTTCAGCATTTTACCAACATGGAAACAGATGAAGACATAAGGGACCATGGCATGGCTGAGAACAGAGGCTTGGTATCTGACTGGGCTCCCTTGTTTTGACTAGACTGGGAAGTGACCGCCCCCTCGTGCAGCCTATCTCAGTAAAGTCTGGCCTGCATGAAACTGCCCATAGAACTTCGTAACAAAAAGAAATAATGCAATTTCCTATTTCTGATTTAGTTGTTGTTCTGTATCATAAGAAAAGTTAAATTTAAGCAATTATAAGAAAATATTGAGAAAAGTTATTTGTAAATGTTTCAAGCATTTTACACTACTTACAATAGTTGTTTACCAGTTTTTACTCATAGAGGAACTTACATTCACAAAAATGAAGCGTTTCTTAAAAAGAATGGTTGCTCAGATATACTTGCCTGAAAATCTGAGGAGGATGGATATTAATACAGCACACAAGAAAAGAGATTTCTTAAAAAGTGCCTATGTAAAGATAAGCATGAAACTTCATCATGCAAGCAGTAAAGACAAGCAAATGCCGTATCACTTGCATAACTAAAAATAAGGACTTCAAGTAGGTAACTCCCCAAAACTTCTGTATTAGAAAGCAGCATTTCAACATTTTCATATACGTTTAACTTAAAACACACTCATACAATACAGTTTACCAAATCAGAATGTTCAAAGACAATTTTTCCCAACATTTGTATGAATAGAAAAAACTAAATGTGAGAATGTAAGCAATACATTCTCTGCAATGAATAGTTCAGCTATTGCTTATTATTTATTATAAAAACCCCAGGCACTCTAATCTATTACCAAGCTGTACAAATAGAATCTTTGGATTTGTGCATCTTGCTACTACAGTGTTTTCACTGAATTTTTCAATTGCATTTCAATGTAAATACATGGCAATAGTTTGGTATCTTCAAATCTATTATAATCTTTGAAAGACACGTGCAAGCTTACAAGAAGTAACTGCTATGTAAGGCCATTTTCTTTAGGTTCAAGACACAGTATTAAAATACTCTGTTAGCAGGACAGTTCAGGTAAATCATCCACATTAACCCTATTCTGAGAATTCTGCAAAGAGCATAACATATCTTCCACGATCACATTTGCAGTTTCAAGGGATTAGTCACCCTTTTAACCATCAGTATTTAGAAACAGCCCTGAAAAATGAGTTGTTACAATTAGCTTGAAAGCTTAAAAATCCTTGCTTTTCTAACAGCTCAAATTGTTTTGGTATCTATATAAAGGCCTAGTCTTTCACAGAGTCTTGATGCTCCCTGGTCCAGTGATCTCCTCAGGCTAATTCTGCATTGTTAGAAAACGTTCTTCCTTCAGTCAGTGTTAGAATGGCTCCATTTTAATTTCATCCAGTAACCCCTGGCTTTTGTATTAAAAATAACAAAAACAAAAAAACACCAGAATGAGCTGCCTGGCCAATTCTCTCTGTATCTTTCATCACTCTGGGTACATTACTATCACACCTCTGACTGCATCTTCCCAAATGCCTGGACCAAAGAAAGAATCTCTGTCCAAAAATCAAATACCTGTTTGTTTCCAAATACAAATAAAGAAACCAGGAGAGCAACCTTAAAATGAAGCTCATGCTTTCCTGAACAGGACATAGTTAAGAATCTTCTTACATGATTTCTTGAAGTTACCCTCAGCTACACCTCCCAGTCCCTTCCCTCACTTTGTACGGAAGCTTTCCCATTCCTCTAATTAATGACCCAAGCTTTGCTTTGGTTTTGTTTCTTTTGACACCGGGTAACCAGAACTCAACAAAGCACGTACCAATGATTTATATGAGATTATTATATTTTCCTGCATTGCTCCCTTTTGTATTCCTCAAACATTTCAATATTACATTTGGCTTTCACACAATGTTGCTTATTAAAATAGAAAGGAATTTTAAAAGCCTGGACTTTTAAAAAAAATACAGAACTGGTCAGGGATGTGTAGGCTGATGATAGCCTTGGCATCGGCCACTATGAGATGGTGAAGTCTGAAATCCTGAGAGAAACGAGCAAGACAAATACTGAAGCAGCAGCACTGGACTTCAGGAGAGGCAGATTTTGGCTTGTTCAGAGATCTGCTTGGCAGGATCATACAGAAGACTGCTTTAAGGAGTAAACAGGCCCACGAAATCTGGATATCTCTCCAGGGACTTCACACCAGGAGAATGATGCATGCCAGTGTGCAAGAAGTTAAATGAATGTGGATAACAGCCAACATCAATGAACTAGGGACTCCTGATTTAGTTCAAATGGAAAAGGAGGTAAGCAGGTGGTGAAACAAGGGAAACGCTATATAGAGAAGGTATGTAGTGATACTGCTGTAGTGTACAATGATGGAATTAGGAAACCCAAAGCTCAGCTGGAGAAGAAACTAGCAGAGGCAACAAGAAAGGCTTCTATATGTGTACAGGCAGCATAAAGCAAATTACCAAATTAGAGGGAGTGGCTGATAAACTGAAGGGCAGGCTTGCTATTCGGAAAGACCTCAACACGCTGAAGAAATGGGCTAACAAGATCTCGTGAAGGTCTACAAAAGCACACGCAAGGCCCTGCACCTGGGATAGAAGAGCTGTGTGCCCCAGTACAGCCCCGGGGCTGACTACGTGAAAGCAGCTCTGCAGAAGACAACCTACGAGTGGAACGGGAGTCAGCAATGTGCCCTGGCAGCAAAGGCTGACCCGAGCATCCAGGGCTGCTTTAGCAAGAGGGTCGAGGGAATTGATTATACCCCTCTATTTAATACTGATGAGACCATATGCGAACTACTGTGTCCAGTACAAGAAAGACACTGACATACCGGGGCAAGTCCAGCGGATGTCCACCAAAACAAGTAAGGTCTGTAGCAGATGACATGCAAGGAGAAGCTGAGCAAACTTGTTTGCTCGATCTTACGACCAGAAGGAGAGATTTCACTGCTGCCTTCCAGTAGTTAATGGGAGGATATAGAGGGGTTGGAGCCAGGTTCTTCTCAGAGGTGCAGAGTAAAAGGACAAGAGGCAACAGGCACAAACTGCAAAACGCGAAATTCCAACAAAGTATCCTTAAAAGGAAAAAAATCACTATGAGGGTGGTCAAATGCTGGAATAGGTTGCCCAGAGAGACTGTGGTATCTGCAACCCTGGAGATAACCAAACCTGTACCGGACAAGGCCCTGGGCAACCTGACCTAAGCTGGCCTGAGGTCTGGGGTGCTCAGAGGTGGTGCCCTGAGGTCCTTTCCAAAGAAAATTATGCTGTGATTCTATTCTATGATTCTGCGATTTAAAAAAAAATTAAAAATTAAAAAAAAAACAAACAACCACACATGCTTTCAAAACGTACGTCCTGAATTTCAAACATTTTTTGACTCTTCACTTCAACAACAGAAATTGTATCAAGCACTAAGGGATATTAAAAAAACACACGTTTTCTTCTGAGATTCCTTTTAAAAAATAAACTATGAGAAAACCTCATCAATGTTACTCTAAATGGAATGATAGGAAAATATTTACTATAATCAACAGGAAATAGGTACAAGAAAGTTTAATATCGAAACTGTATTTTTAGCTAACACAGCAGAGGACACCTTCTGATGGCACAGTAAAAAGGATCAGATAAATTAAAACAATACATAAAATACTTTGAAAACAAAATAAAATTATAACAATTTACTTCGGTAAATACAACCAGTGTGAAAAATGTAATTAACAGTACTATTCCAGTATCATTCAAATTTCTCAACTATGCCAAGCTCAGAAGCACTCGCTTTATTCATTTTTCTAGGCACCCACATGACAAAAGCACAGCAAAAATATTTTCAGAAATAAAAAGATCTAAGACCATGAGATCGTGAGAGTCAATGACAGTATAAAGATTCTTAGTGATACAGTAATACAATGCTCTAAGTGGACTGAATTTTCACACTGAACTTTTGAGATTTCTTTTGGATTTTGTGCACTTGATTACTTCTGTCTATAGCAGTGCTAATTTATGTGCTCCTACGGGGATGACAGCTGTCTGTGCCAGCATCAGAAACTGAATCAAGAAACTCCAGAGCTAAAAGCTAACAGGCTACAATCTCTTAACTCAGAGCTGCAGATTCATGTTTTATTCATAAAAGCAGATACCTACGCACCAGCTTGTGAAATGCATTATTTTGGCATTTAACATTTTTATTTCACTTAATAAAAAAATTACATATCTTACCTTTAGATCACTTCCTGGCAAAGTACCTATGCCATCCTTCCAATCCATAGCACTAAATACATCAAACTCTTGACCATTTCCACTAGAGGCAGATTCATTCATGATGCATGTACTAAAAAAACAATAAAATAAAAATTAAAAAAAAAAAAAAAGATTTTATCTGAAAACACTGTAAGTGGTTTAATGCTTATATCACCAGACATTTCTTTAAATGCACTTCATAGATTAGTATCAAATGCTTCCCTCAGCACACTGGCAATGAGGACAACTAATGACAATGCTGATAATACACACTAATGTAATAAAAGTACGGTGAAATCTTTTTAAAACCTTAAAAAATAACACCTGTTTCATACACTAGGAAGCTATTAATGAAGCTGTATTGGAGAGAAATGAAAAATTTCAAACTGCAAATAAATGGACATGGGGAAAACATACCTTAAGTACACCTAAGAAAAACATTTGTTCTGGGGAAGGCAAGACATGAGTGCATGCCTATAATAAATACATTAAGCACTGATTAATGGAACTACTTCTCCTTAATACTGGATAACATGCTGATGTGAATGCTTCAGCAAGTTCAAATTAAAATTTCAAAATTAATTTGAAACTGTCCTTCATTTTCACTGTCTGACTCAGGACACCCAAATACTCCTTGACTGTTTCCATACAGTTTCACTACATTCTAATTTGCATTTGTGAAATTTATTCACATGCAGAGAAGCACATATACACCAGAGAAAAATACTGCTTTGCAGGACTTTATTTTACTGGATCCCTCTCTTTCAGAACAGTGAAAGGAGAGGAGAGAATATTTATCTTCAGAAATAGTGGATTTGGACATCCTCCTCTGCGGTAAGAGTTTATCCCTAATAATTTCCAGAAGCAACAGAAGTATATAACACTTGTCACTGACCCCTGGCTTTGGCACACCCCTTGTCACTGCCACAAAGACACCGTCAGTTGCACTGAACTGCAAATGTTCCTCGCAGCCAGTTGTGACTACCACCACCTTCTTCCCTTCCACTTCTTACAAACCCAGCAATCTTTAAATCTCTGGCCTGGCACCTAATTTATTATTTGTTCAATGTGAAATCTGACACATTCATTTTCTTTCTGAAAAACTTCTGCACTATGCCCAGCAGCTGAAATAATATGCAGCAAAATTAGCTCTGTCTTTGGTTAGTGAACTATTAGCAAAAGATCACCCCTTTTCAAATTTACACTTTCTGAAGTTTTTAACAACCACTTTGTAAGCCTCATACTCCGTCTGCAGACTGCAAACTTTTGCTGCAAGTATTAGTATTTGAAATTCAAATAGGTAGAAAGCTTCCAAAGTGCTTGACCTTGTTTTCTAAAATCTGATTTCAAACTTAGATCCCACTCCCAAAATCTGCAAATATCTATTAATACTGTCTGGAAATCTGGAATTTCCACAAAAAAAGACTAAGTGGTATTTGTTCACTTGCAGATAACAGGAAAAGATGCAAACCAAGCAGAAGTAAACTCAGGTCACCTAGAAGCTTTTTCTGAAAGTTTGAGGAGAAAAATGCTTAGCTAGTTAACTCAGTTGTGTGAAAAACAATCAAATTTACATTTTTTTCATCAGAAAAATTGTGCCAATCACTGTAACACCACCACTACAGATACTACTCCGGTTTTGGGCCTGCAATGCGGACTCCCTTTGTATTTCTCCTTGGTTTCCTCCTCATTTCTAGGAGAATTCTTTAAAACCCTGAGCAACACCTTACTCCACAAGTACTTTTTTTACACTACAGCCACTACACAAAATCAACAGGATAACAGGAGCTGGACCTCAGTCAGTAACCACTACTTAGGGTGAAAGCTTCTGCATTCCCCTTCATTTTATATGATAGGTAGGGTTCACAGAAGGCTCTTTGAGAAAACTTCACATACTTCACATAACAAGTTTGAGGTAAGAAGAACCGCATGACTCAATGTGTCTTCTCCGTCTCTAATTTCAGTAATCCTCTATGAGAAAGTACTGAAAACCATACCGCCAATGCACAAAAAAAATCATTTAAAAAACGTCAATAAATCTAAACAAATTCAGTGCAAACTGAGAAACTCCCCAAAGCCATAGACCTTATCTTTTAAAATCACTCCCAGGCAAAATCCACCACCCTACCTCAGGGCAGCTCCTGCAATACAACTTGGATGATCCCTGTTTGACCCGAGAGCATGGTGCAACCACCAAGCATCCAGCCGTCCACACGGCAGCAGACCAACTCAGGCAGGCTTCCACCAAACTAAACTGCAGCACGATGGCAGAGGTGCAGGCATTCTCTCAAGAACACAAAACCCAAGCTGCTGAGGAGTAGCTGAAAAATTGGATCTATCCAGAAACCCGTGAAATTTTAAGGACATGAAACATGCTGGTTTAAGCACATTGGTGTAAGGAGCTCTCTGTGATTAGCCTGGCTAAGCAAACACAAAGCTGTGTTCTGTATTAACTGAAGTTTCTAAGTAATCTTAAATTACCACCCTATTTAGAGGACACTTCACTCAACCCTCCTGTGGTTTATTTATTACAGAAAACATGTTCCAACAGTTTCTGCAGAAGGCATGACAGAAGACGGGAAGAGACTTGGGAGGCTGTGGGGAAACACCTCCTCGCAGTGGCCGCTGTCCCAGGGAGTGAGGAGCAGCAGACAGCTACTCCATCAGATGCTGGTGTCTCCCAATAGTGCCACTATAGACACACTTTGTAACAGAAACAGTTGGAAAAAAAATCACATGAGAAAAAAAAAATCTTAGAGCCTAACCTACTTAGGCAGGACGTAAACTGTGAAAGTAAAAAAACCAACAAAACAAACAAAAAACTTTGGTAACAGAAATGTTCGGGGCATACTTCTCTCAAGAAAACATACAGATTTTAACTTAATTACACCTAACAAAGTTTCCTCATGTAACAATCAGCAGTAACGATATATTCTATTGGTTGATAAGGTATTCGTTATTGTTTTCCTTTTAAAATTAACTCAACATCAAAGGCACAATCTGTACTTTTGCATTCTGCAGCCTTCAGAAGTGTTCTTGGTGGGGATGAAAAGGTCACAGGGCAACGCAGATAGAAATGAATTTACCAAAAGGAATTACATTTAACAAAATATCTGTTTCCAGCTTTGCTGAGTTTGAACAGTTGAAAGATAGGGCTATATCCCTCTACTAATGATAATAAGGAGGGAGATAGAGACCAATTAAATTGTTACAGCAATGAGGTACTAAAAAAGGATGAAATCATTGCAATATATACATCTAAAGCACGGAACAAAGAAAACTACAGAATGTCTTGTCTACTCATTTTCGTTTTTAAAGCTCTGATGTAGTTCTCTGAACTAGTATAACTCCTTCCATAATGATTTCATCTGCTATCATTTCTGTTGCCACACTTCCAGAAAAGTAGTAAAAATACTAGATGAATAAGGGGCAAAGTAACTACAGTACTGTCCCGATGCCTGTCACTGAATGCCATCTGATGCGAAGGAAAGGACATAATAGTAAGAACTTGAAACAGCCATCTTCAAAAGCATCTCCAAAATCCACTATTAGGAATGTAACTGTATCTCAGCCTTCACAGCCATAAGCTATAACATTTATAGAGTATGATGCATGTTAATACTTCAACATTAACTTTGTTTTAGACATAGGTAATAAATTCATTAAAATAAGCAAGCATATACAGTAAGATTAGACACATCCTTTAGAAAAACCTTGATTTTCACCAACTGGTTCAACAATAAATGAGTAACTCACAGAGGAGATACTTAATGAGAATAACAGCACTAAAAATGAGATAGTTTCATCCAGTGAAAGACTCTCTGAAGATGTAAAGCAAGAAACAGGAGAGAATATGCCAATTAAACTTACAAGTAGTTTTTGAAATAATTGTAAGGTTATGTACTGGATATGTCGAAAAGTAGTAACAGGATTCTTTCTTTTAGTCAGTGCTTTAAAAAAAACTACCTGACACCTACCTGAATTTTGTAAATCTAAGATGCCACCTGTTTAATGTCCGTCTGATTTCCAACCAGTGGGGCCAACTGAATACCGGGTCACTGGGCAGCAGACAGAAGAGATTTCAGCAGTAAAGCCACTAGTCAGCACTGCCAGATTGGCGTTACCTGCCTGCAATAGTGTCTTTTCTTTTTATGCATCCCTGCCTATTTTTATTTTTACTTTTGAGGATTTCTGTAGCCACCGTGACAGCCTAGCAGATTTGCCCCATGCTGGTCCTCTGCCCAGCCGACAGCTTCCGCGAGGAGGCAAAACTGGGCATGAGGAACCAGAGGAGGTCTCAGCAAGTGGCACCAAGGGTGAGGTCCAAGGGACAAACAGAGGTCCCAAGGGAGGCGATGTCCTTATGGAGCCAAGCCACAGTCCCTCTTCCCCACAGGGCTGCGTGACACCAGTGCCGATGGATATTCAGGAACAAAGGCGACAGGTGAGTTTTTTGTCCTAATATCACAGATGGTTATTTTGGGCATCTCCAAGGAGGAGGCTGCTTGGTGTAGCACCCATGGGCTCAAGGGACACATTTTCCATACACAATACATCAGGAAAATGAAGTGGATCAGAAGGGGACAACTCAGTGTACCAGAGCTGTAAATCCACTAACTTCTAGACACCACGGGACAAGTGGATACTCAGCTTCAGCTTTATTTAACGTGTAAGAATGTGAATACTACCAGGGCTGACTTGTTACACCACCGAAGCTGAATTACCCCTTGCAATGTAAGCTCCCCCTATTTCAGACAGACTTTGTGTTAAGCTAGCTTCACAATGACAGCAAAAGCAAAGCCAACGGACTTTAAACCCACCAGGGTGAGCCCTGCTTTTCTCCTCACAATCCTCTCTTTTAGCTGGGTGCACGCCACACTTGTCTCTTTCTCACCCTTCATCTTTTTGCACCTGACTCTTCACTTACAGAAAAACAACCACAACAGGAACAGAGCAGGAAATGGTAAAATGCTTTGAGGCTATCCACCACATTTTATTATGTGCTTTGCTTTGTACCTGTTTAATGGCTCAATTATTTTAATGTTTCATTAAAAGAAGTATCTGCAGATTACACATTTCCTTCAAAA